TATAATACAGTATGTGTATGTGTTTGTATATATAGATATACATTTGTGTGTATGTATATATATAACATAAATATACACAAATCATATATATAAAGCACATAAAACATTTATATATGTATATAAAGTATATGTTTGAAGGATATCTTCTTTAAAGACTGATTTTAATTGGTTTATTTATCATCAAAAATTTTGCTGACATTGATGTACTATTTTAAGGTATCCCAAATTACTATAATAATAATCACCAACATTATAATTTCATTTTACAGAACTATTCCATGATTATCCCTGTGAGAGTCTAACATGTATATAAATTTATACAAATTTTAAAGACTGTTGTTTTTTTTTTTATAATGGACAGGGAAGGATTACTGTGAAGAAAATACTTTAAAAATCATTTGCTAATTAATCTGCTCTTTGAACATTTCCTCCAACTGAGTTATTTTAATTGATTTCCATTTTCAGACAATTTCCTAGTTTCATAAGGGGTTCATTGATGTTTAGCTTTGACTAACAGTAAAATCACTCTAGCTAAATTTCATTAGAAGTTCCTGACTCATGTTGTGTGTTCTTAAATAGAATATTTTAGAACATTAAAGTATCTTCACTTTTCCTCATGTGTTCTGTAGAAAGGCCTTGAGTACTTTCTAGGTATTTCTAATAACAGTAGAGTCCAGTGCTGAATCAATAAAGTCTGGTATTAGAGCATACAATTTGGACTTTAATGTTCTAATGTTCCTTAAATAATAAATAATTTCTTAAATAATAAATAACATCCTAAAATTATATATCTATATATTTCTCTCCTTAATGGGGATTTGTGGGAATTTCAAGTTGGAAAGGAGGGGGAAAAGATGACTAAATCTTCCCAGAATTGGAAAAAAGAAGGTTCTTCAACAATTCTGAGATATCAGCCCAAGCACATACATATGAGCATATCTTCCATTTAAGCCTGATCCTAGACCTAAATGGGTCTGGATTTCAAATCATCATCTCTTTACTGAAAAGGCAAGTTAACTTTTTATAATTTGACTAAAGTACATTCATAACAGTCCTCTATCTTGAACCTTTGCACTCTGAATTATAAATCTGTGTAAAGAATGACTTCACGTATCACTAAGGAAATTGCCTGTGAGTTGTAAGGAAAAACATACTTTTGGTCAAAGGAACCTATTTCTTGTCACTGAAATTGTACTCAACTGAATTAGAATGTGGTTTAAGGATAATCATTTGAATAGGAAAAAAAAAGGAGGAAAGGAATACATCAAGATATTAGTAGTAGATGTATGTGAATGAAGGTATTCTAAGGGGGTTAATTTTCTTCATATTTTTCTTTTTGAAATTTCTGAACATACTTTCAAGTTAAAAAAAATTTAAATAAACAACATGATAAATAACATTAGCCTTATGTTTACCATAATGCTTTTGTAACATTTTATAGTAACATTCCCAGATAAGTTTGGGAAATACAGGGATAAAAAAGGTTGATGACATTTATTTAAAACATGATTTCTTAGAGACATTGACATGCTAATTTTCATGATGCATCTTCCAGAGACATACATAATAACCAGAGTTTTTCAGCAGTGGAAACTGGCCACTCACAAACAGCTGATGACAAATCAAAGAAAACTGTTTGGGTATGTGGCAAGGAAAATATGTTAGAGGGAAAAATACAGAAAGTGTTGTTCCCTTTCTTTAATTACCTTATCCCAAGTTCCAGATGGTTTCCTGGATGTCGTAGCACCATCGTCCTTTCTCTTCTGGTGCCATCACCCACCTCTTACATTTAGTAGTTGAGTGTCCCTGCACCCCTCCCAACCCCCACCAGGCAACCTTCAGTTTGGAAATTTTGCTACCCTAACCTTAGGGTTTGTGAATATGTTTGGAGGAAAAACAGGATGAACAAAGAGGACAAATCAGAAACTCTTTAAGGATATCTGTATGATTTGAGTGCATGGTGAGAAGGTCATCTGAAGGACTCAGGTGAGGGCTCTCAGTCAGTGTACATGCCTTGGAATATTACAGTGGTGATGTTTGGGAAGTATCAGAGAACTAGTAGAAAATAAGGTCAAGCACTTGAAGATGATGAACTGGTATGGTAAATATACTTAGGGGCAAGGATAGATAAAGGATTAAAGAAATAGATTTTTAAAGTGTGATTATAGCCATTTGTGTGAACTGCTTTGCATTTAGTCCTAATCTCTCTATATGGCACACTAACAATTATGTTTGGCAATTAATGTGTATAAACTTAACCATGTTTCACACTCCATTTTATTGGTACAGTAATCTTTATAAATAGGCTTTTTGGTCTTTATAATTTGTTAGTTATATGGCAACATCATTTACTAACAATTTTAAAACAGCAGAGGGAAGTAGCCCATATATTTGGCAAGTGGATATCTCACTTCTTTAGAGCGCTTTATCATGCTAGATAAAACAGATTGGTTGCTCCTAAAACATCTGCTAAGCCAATTTTTGTAAAGCTAGGTACCTTGAAGAGTTACCTTGAAGTGTAAAAATTATGCCCTCCCTACACTCAAGAAATAGATAATGGTGATAAAGGAGTTCAGGAAAGCTGTCCCAAACTGCAAAGCACTTGCAAGTATGCAGACAGGGATTCATACATATTTCCCAAATGAACATGCATTTAATAGTAGATCCCTACCACAAAAATAAAAATGAAAGAATGGACATAATTTTAATTCTGTAGATGTTACCCAGATCTGTAAGATATTCACCATAAGTCTTACAGTTTATAATCTACAGAGAATCAAAACTCAACCTTAGAAACAAAATTAGGTTGAATCAACCACTCAGAAAAATAAATAACAAGAGGATCCAACTATTTGAAGATTTTTGTAGAAAGAAAACATAAATGTTAATTCTCCTTTATCACATAATATAGGGTACTTTTAAAAGAAAGAAATTAATCTACATAAGTAACAAGAAATAAAGTTATTACCAATAAGGAGCATACCTGGGATACTAGTAATTAGGATGAAAAGGTGCCCAATTCTCTATTACCTGATATCTTTCTTTTTGTACTATTTTCATGGCAATAAGTGCATTTTTTTTTTCATATCAAAGGCTCCTTTGCTTAAACTAGAAAGGAAAATGCTGAAAAATAAAGGACAAAAATGAGCTCAATTAATAAAATAAATTCCAGCTTTTGGGAATAGATAACATGTATTTTCTTTTTATTTTTGTTTTAATTGAAAGTCAGTCCTGGTATTCTAATATAGTGTGAACTCTAGATGGAGTCTTAAGAAATAACAGATGTTTAAACTAAGAAAAAGAGTTAATTGAGTAAAGAATACATACAGAAAGAGGGTGCAGGAGAGAAAAAGAGATATAAGCACTGGGCAAATGCAGACAGAGGATGGAAACAGCCCGAACAGGCCAGTGGTTACTCCAGCTAAGACATTGCTGATGGCTGTTCCTTTCAAGCTCTTTAGTTGCTGTAGAAGGTTAACAATGACTTTGGAAGGAAGTGAGTTCTACAATTTTTTTTTTTTATTTTCTTTATTTATTTGACAGAGATCACAAGTAGGCAGAGAGGCAGACAGAGAGAAAGGGGAAAGCAGCCTCCCTGCTGAGCAAAGAGCCCCATGTGGGGCTAGATCCCAGAACCCTGAGATCATGACCTGAGGGAAGGCAGAGGCTTAAGCCACTGAGCCACCCAGGTGCTCTAGGAAGTGAGTTCTAAAAACACAGCTCTATTTTCTTTGTCTCAAACTATGTCCTCCATTTTCAAGTTTTTTAAAGAGTAAATCTCAGATAATTCTTATGTCAAGTGGCTCATTTAAACATTTTGGAGCCAATGAAATTGTTAGGGAGAAAAAAGGAAGAAAAGAAAGAAGGGGGGGAAGGGAAATGAGCCAAAAAATATTATATTGGTTATTGGAGGGATTATCTCTACCTCCCAAGTTATATTCTCATTTGTGGTACACATTATGTACAGTATTCAACATGACCTTCTTGAGAGAAATTTATACTGAAAGTATTAACTGTTTACAAGTGAATTGCTGAGAGATAAAATTCTTGATTTTCAGAAGAATTCATTACTGCATATATTGGATCACCTTTTTAATGTCCTACTTCAGAGATATAAATGTCCTGATAAATAAAATGAATTGCTTAAGATACTAGACCATTATTTCTCAGAGCTACAGTTTAAAATTACAAAGCCATCTTTTTCACTCTCACCTCTAAACAAATTGTGTCCTTTTATGAAAGCAGCATTTTTCTATCATTTTTTTTTTTGGGGGGTGGCTGAATTTCCTTGAAAATGCCTGTGTTGAGTTGTCACCAGACTATAATGAATATGTTTTATTGGTTGATATATATGCCTCAGAGACTAATAAAATAAAATCGCATTGAACTTGAAATGGAATCTACTAAACGAACTTTTTCTGTGCCATAATATATTCTTCTTGTCCTCAAAATTGCAAGTATTGATACAGGTTGTCAGTTTTTCCTGGGGAGTAATTTGGATGATTCAGTTAAGATTTAATGCCAGAAAGCATCATTTACAAAACATGCCCCTGAGCCCTTAAGGAGTTAATAAAGCTTGCTACAGTATACCGTATACTTCCCAGAAGTATCCGAAATAGCTAGAGGATCTGTAAGAGTGAGAGTAGAGTATTTAAGCTTAAATGACACCCATATGCCAACATGTTTTTTTTATTACAATGTGAGATGGCTTGGTATCATTAGGAAAGTGTGCCCATTCTTGAGGAATTTGTTAAGCAGCAGTTGACTTCTCCATAAAGTCTGCCTCCCAAGTGGCATACTTAGGCTCCATTCTCTACTGAAAAATATTAACTGTGAAATTTCATGTGTAAGCAGTAAATTATCAGGACTACACAGTGGACCAATTTTAGAAATAGCTAATCAAAGCCAATAAATTTCCCATTTGGGTATGAGTATGTGGTAGTGAGATCTAATAAGGACTGTTGATAGACATTCACTGTCCCAATTTCCTGCTTCAACAGAGCGTGTAACTGAAGTGAAGACTGACATCTTCGTCACCAGTTTCGGACCTGTTTCAGACCATGATATGGTAAGTGACACTGCATTTTTGGTTTTCTTGGTGTATTTCCTAAGTTTAACTTTTGAAAGGAAAATATAAACCAAGTACTTAGAGGACAACTTGAAATAGCTTAGCTCTATCTTTGTGTTTTTCTGTATGCATAATAAGTAACATATACTAATATATAATATTCATATCATAGAAAATACCCACTTACTTTCTAGGCCAAACCCATTTATGATATCAACCACTGCAGTCTTCTTTTTTACTATTCCTGAAATGATTGCTTTGACTTGGGTTATGTCCTGTAAGCCAAATAGTGTAATCTGCCTTACATTTTATTTAGGAGGGCATGTTGATTGAAAGATGCTATGTCTCTAGATAGCCAGCATTCTTATACAATAGCCATGAACATCATGATTTCTGGATTATTCTTGGCTAGAAAGGGGATGTGAGTATAAAAGCTGAGTGAATAGTTGACCAGAATTAGACAGAGAAATAGTTCAAATAAAACACATTGGTGGGAAATGTTCAGCTTTACTGCAAAAGAAATTCATTAATTATTACCAAGAATGAAAATAAAATTAATGCATACCTGTTCTTTCTTTTCCTAACCCAATAAGTTAACATGAATTTCTCTTCTATCTGATGGGAATTGGTATAAGAGTAGAACGCTGATGTAATATTTGCATACTCATAATAGCCATGCTCCTATGTAATAAAAAAATCATAAAGAGCCCATGAAGACACACTGTTGTGAAATATTTCAAAGATATATTTATTGAATATTATTTTTGAAATGCCTTTCTGTTGACACCATCTTTACATAAAAGTTCTCTGATTTCATAATAGTTCAAGTGATTGAGAATAAAAGTTACATAAAATATCAGTTAAAACCAGCATTTTTCAAAGTGTGGAGATTCACAAGTGTACCCACTTTGGCAGCTCTGACAAGTCCTGAAGTAAGGAAACCTGTTTAACTACATTTAATCTAGTGTTTTCCAGTCATATTTGTCTAAACCTTTAATATGGTACTTGTTGACATTCTGTAGAGCTAATACTTTGTGAGCCAAACACTGGGAAATGCTGGCTTAAGATAATTAGATAGGTTAGATCTTAACACAGGTTATGAAATGTACCAACTATGCAAATCAGAGTCACCAAGCATAAGAGAGTGTTAGGTAAGAATATAGATTTCTGAACCAGAATGCTGTCGGGGTTTATATTCCCAACTTCTGTGCTTATACGTGTGTGTTAAGTTCCTTAACATCTCTTTGCCTCAGTTTCTTCATGTGTAACATGGGAGTGATGATAATACCTCATGGGGTTATCATAAATATTAAATGAATTCATACATGAAAAACATTTAAAAGTTCTTAGCATATAGGAAGCACTCAATGAATGTCAGCCATTATTTCTATGCAAGAAATAGAAATATAATAATTAGCCACAAGTGTGCATTTATTTCTTTGGCAACTTATTATAGTGGTTGATCTGTAGACCACTTTCTTGAAATATTGTTATACACTATTTTTTGCTAAACTATTCACCCCGAGGACCTCTTGTGATTCTCCCATGTTGGAATTCTGTCTTAAAGCACTATTCTCTTGTGCTGCTTTTCTAATTAAGGACATTTAATAGATCCCAGTCAGGTTTAAGGTCAAATTTAAACTCCTCTGCCTGTATTCCATACAGTTCACAGATGATGTTACCACCCATCCCCTCTTGTTCCTAATATTGACAATTTACTTTAGTCATTTGCTTAAATACTACTTTCTGTGAGGCCATAGCACTTGGGGGTGAGCTGAACTTGTCTAGGATCCAGGATGGCTGAATTTACATCTCACCACTGCCAATAGCATGACCTTGGGCAAATCACTAAAGTGCGTAAGCCCCAAAGTCTCTACAATGGGTGTATTATTGTAATAGCCTCTCCTTGTAAGATAGTTAGGAATTTTAAATGAGCAATGTAAATAAAGTGTTTATAGATAGTGCTCAATAAACTCTCAGTAAACTCAATAGTTATTACTTTTGCCTCTGAACTCCTTATCATGCTGTGTATCCTTCATGGAAAATTCCCTCTGTTTCCCACCCATCTAAATTCTACATTTCCACAAAGGCCCAAATCAAGACCCAAAAGCTTAGTGAAAACTTTTTTTTTTTTTTTTATTAATCCGATAGTGGATGAGGTTTACCTTTCTGTTTTCTAGTCACATTTAATGACTATAAAATAATAGCTTAGCTTTTGGTGTCATTTATAACACTGCTTTGTAAAGTTATTTCTCTTATATAAATGTCTTATTTTCCTAAAGTAGTGCCGAAAAATGTAAAGATACATTTGCCTCACATCCCTCAGAGTATCAGCACATGGTTGCCTCATAGTAAGTGTTGAATTCCTACTTATTTAATGATAGGTTTAGTTGTCTCTATTGTCTTTACAACAAAATCTTGTGAGACTCAGCAAATAATACCCTCTTTCCTGAGTTCTGAACCTTTTGAGAAATAAGATAATAAAATAAGGGATTTGGAAATTGAGAATAATCATCTTCATTACTAATTATTAAGGTCCTGTGGAAGGTGCTTTATATCTGTAGACAAGTGAGTTTCCAGAGAGTAAACATCAGAATTGATCTGATTAACCCACCCAGTCACCTGGGAAGACTTTGGCCTCCATTTGTTAGGGCAGAGACTGTCCATATAAAATTTCTAGATTGGAGAAACATCAGAATTTGTGAGTCTTATGGACAGAGCAGCAAGAAGAGGCTGAGATAGGCAAGATTGATTTTTCCTTCCAGATTTACCCATCAAATGAAATTATTCTTCCCTCTTCCACTCCCTAAATAAAGGAGTATGAGGGATTGGAGAGCATTCAGAAGTTTTGCACAGGTGAAGCTCTCTTCTCATAAATGGAAACATCAAGAGGGGATGAAGCATTACAAACATCACACACTGATAATGATATTATTCCTCCTCCTCATTATCATTATTATCATTACCATCATCATATTTAAAAATGAATATTCTCTATCGCTGGCATCTTTCATAATGCCTCACAAAGATTAGATGCTCAATACGAGTTGTTATGGGATGGTGCTCAAATAAAGGCATATTTTCTCTTGGAAATATTTGGCATACCTTTGAGTTATTTGCTTAGATTGTCATTTAAGGAAACACTGATTTTGTTTTTTTTTTTCTTGGACTAAAGGTGTATGTTGGGGCTTTTGATATACCATTAAGTCTATGACTTGTGCATTACTTTTCATAAATGGCCTTTGGTCAAAAATCAGATAGGAAGAAGGAAGAGAGTGTCTAAGCCGGTTATACTTCCTGTTGCCTAAAATTTCTGAACAGGATAATCTTTGAATTGTTCTGTCAGAGGACCAAATTACCCAGGTCTACAACTGATATGCTAAGTGGCTACCTGGCCAATTCGTTGGAGATTACTCATTTAAACCATATTATAGGTGAATTACAAATAAAGAGCAGTATGATTTAGAGTCTATCAAAATTAGAAGGCCAATGACAAAGCTATTTTTCAAGACAAGAAAAGCTTTGTAGGTTTTAAAGTGATAACTAATAAAATATCTAATAAGGATAACCATAATAACAGAATTCAACAGTAATGAATGCTTACAATATGTCAAGCACCATGCTAATAGGTCTATAGATCATATTTCATCTAGTACTCATGATTTTACCTAGGCATTGTTATTATCCGCAGTTTCCAGAAGAGGAAAGTGACCTAGCTAAGTAGCAACTTGAACTCAGGCTGTGTGCCCCTAGAGGATCCACAGCTCCCAAGGCATCTGACTTCATCTGGAATAGAAAACAAAATTAGGGCAACTCCTTAACTTTATTTTAAAAACCATTAATTGGCAATCAAACGGCACAATCCCAGGGCACTAGGTTCTGACAGAAATATCCAGGCAGCACAGTTGCAGAGCCCTGTTTTCCATGGTGGTGAAAACGTATGAAGTCAAAGCACACACAGATGGTAGTAGATGATGCAAGTGGGAACACTTCAAAACAATATTTATTTAGGAACATAACGGATGTTCTGTCCAGTCTTCAGAGTAAGACTCAATTCTCCAGCGACCTACTCTATTGAACAGGGTAATGTGGAGAGACTTGTCACTTGAATGATGGCAGCTAGAACACTGAACCTTGAACAGCATCTTTGTCAGAGCTTCCTACTTGTTCAGTCTTCTGTAGAGTCTTTTCCTTTGCCTTCAGATATACTTGGTTATGACCACCTCACTTTCCTGAGGTTTCCTATCCTGCTACCAGTCCAAACAAAGAGCACTTTTTTTCATTCTCAGCTACATTGAAATCTAATATAAATTTGTTGAAAAGCAAAGAAATGGGGAGACAAATAACTTCTAATGTTTACTGAGAACTTCCTATGTTTCAGACATTCTTGTAAACTATTCACTTGCATCATTAACTCACTTCTTACAATAGGCAAGTGAAATCGCTACTGTATGATCCCCACTTTATAGAGTGGAAACTGGAGTATAGAGAATGACCTAAAGTCACACATGTGGCAGACAGACAATTTAGTTCTCGTTAGCAGGTTTAGAACTTACATCCATAACCATTATGCTGTGGCTTCTGCTTTCCTCCCTCATATTCCAGCTTCCTAAAGAAGGAGCTCTGGCCCATCCTGGTCTAGTGCACTATGACCCCAAGGGTGAGGTCATGCTGAGAACCTCCTGCTGCTACCATGGCACTGTTGCACGGGCAGTTCTTAGAAAATGGGACACTAAATATTTACACTCTTGCTTAGATAGGATCTGATTGTTATCAAGTGTTTTTATTTCACTTTTCATTTCCACTTCCAGCTGAAGGGAACATTTAAATGAAAGCTTATCCAGTTAGTTTTGCAGTGTGTGTGTGCATGCTTGTGTGGCCAGTATAGTATTTGGAGGGAGAATAGCATATGAATTTGGGAATTTCAGTGTCTGCCATTAGCACAGGCAAGTAAAGCTGGTTGTAAACATGACAAATATGTAAACATGAGGAATTTGGCAAGTTTCGACATAATTTTTGGAATCACTGACTTGGGGATGTATCTTATCAAAGATTTGATAATAAATCTATTTTAAGGTTTTTAAGATATTTAACATTTATTTCATTTTCAAAAATCTCCTTGGAGCAAATGAACAAATCAACTAAATAAAATTTTTGGATTCATAGGAATATGGTGAGTTGGGCATCTTGATTTAACAAGTGACTGTTCCTCTACTATTTGACAGGCTAAAGTATTTCAGTTGGATAGAAAATAGAGCTTACGTGGTCGATTCCTGAGTAATAGAAATGTCCTTACTATCATACCCATATCTCATAAGCCTATTGTCCAGAGAAGAGAACATAGAGAGCTCAGCGTAAATCCATCCCTTTGCTTCCTGGCAAGCAATGCTTCTGTGTATCATTTCCCAGTGTAGTCCATAGGTTCCCACCCCATCTCTCTCCTCATGGAAAATACCATTGGATGCCCATCCTACTCCATGAGTTTTCTTTACAGCATCCAAGTTTAAGCAATTTCTCCCTCTGCTAAATTTAAAGATGCTTAACAAATGTTTCCTGGTGAGTAAATTGCTATGTCATGTATCTCAGTGCCTTTTCACGTCACACTTCCAGACACAGAAAAGCCTAAGCAACAAACAAGGTAGTTTGTCTTGCCCACAAACATAAACTGGCATCATGTTACACTTCCTTGTTGCTGTTTCAGTCAAGATATAGCGCTATGCCCGGTCCTCTGTAAACTGTCCAATAATTATTACTTGATTACAATAATAATAATAATTATATATAATAATAATTACTTGAGCAGAAGATCTCAGCTATACCAAACGTGTGGCAGAAGGATAAACCTTTCTTCAGTCTTTACCCAATCTTACTTAAAGCTTGAGAAAAAAGCAGATAGTTAAATTGATGCAAAATATGCCTAGACACAGACATTATTTTTTCTGCATGTTCTAAAGATGATATATATAAGATTTAAAAAAAAAACAGCTTTCTAATGCATTAGAGTTTAGGGGATTAAGAAAATGTAGCATGATGTTTTCAAGTTAGTCTTCCTTCCAGTTTGGAGCATGCTAAGATTAATGGAGAATGTGGTAATCTTTATTTCAAACCATTAAGTTCCAAATTTAGTGTCAGTGTAGCAAGTGCTGCAAGGAAGATGGATATTACCCTTTTCAGTTTTAGGAGCTGGTAAGTCACATTGCTTGTTTTCAGATTAGCAGATGTTTGTCTCTGGGTATTGCCATAAGGAATGCTGTGTTTATTCAAATAAATAGATTCCCTGGCTGTGAATGATGATGAGCTTCACACATTTCTCATGTGCCTTCTACACACATATACTCAGATACACACTCACACACACCCTCATATTCTGCATTTTTTTTTTTGGTGAAGATCCCAATTAACAGTGAAACAGATTATTTTCATAATCTTCTTTGTTGTGGAAAATTTGAAAGACTATAAACATTATCTGTGAAAAAATTTCTTTTTTGCTTACCCATAAAAGAGATGGGATTACCAGGCTAGTATTAGAACCACGGATGATTTGAAATTGACTGTGAGGTTTTCAGACTATGGAAGGACCCCCCAAAATACTATATCTAAGTAGCTATCATTATCTAATTTAAACAGTAAACTCCAGCATGAGTTTTGTTTTTATGTGTACTGTATTCTATTTTTTTGAGTGCTGGTGTGGTAGAGGCATAGGGAGAAGGGCATGATTTTCTTTTCACATACTTGAGGAGATAACTGTGGATTTTTTCTGACCAAGCAATATTTCTGGCATTTTAGATATTTAAAAAAAATGATTCACCGGAAACCACTATGTACAGACCACCACAAGTTTACTTTTGAAAACGTCACCCAGCTCATATTTTGCTTTTAAAGTTGTAAAAATTATGCATTGTCTGAGTATTTGCATTGCAAAATACAGCTCCGTGAACTCTTTGCCATTCTCCAAAATTATCTAGGAATATACAATAGATGTATTTTTCCGTCAAAGCTGGAAGGATGAAAGATTAAAATTTAAAGGACCCATGACAGTTCTCCGGTTAAATAACCTAATGGCAAGTAAGATTTGGACTCCGGATACCTTTTTTCACAATGGAAAGAAGTCAGTGGCACACAACATGACCATGCCCAACAAACTCCTGAGGATCACAGAGGATGGCACCTTGTTATACACCATGAGGTAAGGATGACTGTGTTTCTCTCTGTGATTCTTTCTGTACTTCTCTTCCATATATATGTGATCATGAAGCTGATAGGCCATGGCGGCGCATCTGGTTTCCTCTTTGCCCTCTTTTTTCAACCTTAATAATTACTCCGCTGTAAAAAATAAACAGACTGTTTAATGCAAGCATTAAAGCATTAAGTAAAATGATTAGGTAAAGTGGGGGAAGCTTATAATGTATATTAAGTAATATGTCGCAAGTATCTCTCCAACTTGCTCTAATTCAATATGAGGAACTTCTACTTCTACTACTAACCTCATATATTGCTGCATCCCAATAAGTTCTAGATCAGATTTCTAGAAGCAATATCAAGGTATGTATCTGAAAATGTTTCTACTTAAAAAAGGAGGAAAAAAAAAAAAGAACAGTTCAAGTATCTTAATAACTATAGATTCATGTGGAAGTATGCACTTAGAAGAAGTATCTGAATTTATAGTGTTATTATTAGACTGAGAATATAAATATTCTTAATCTTGCTTACATTGAAGAATATTTACATATATGAAGAACATACATGTGTATGTGTATGTATGTATGTGTGTGTGTGTGTGTATATCTATATAAAATTCCTGCTTAATAAACATTCCTCCATTTTGAGATTATTGGAGAATGTGGCAGCTAGATATCTTTATTCATTTATGGTTCAATGAAGAAAATGTGAAACAAAAAACATTGTGAATACTTTTAAAGAAAAAAAAATGTTTAAAATATTCCTAATTTGTAAGCAAATAAAAACTGTCCAGAACTCATTCTTAAGGGAAGCAGTTATTTCATACCCAAGTGACTTGTTAGAGTGTTATTTTTGTAGACCTGGACAGTACTTGGTAATTCAGACCATCCCAAGTATTCCTCTGGCACAAAAAAGGTAATGGAGGCAAAATCCTAGACTTGGTGGATTTTGTTTAATGTGGGAATAAAGTGATTCTTGCTTTTGAAGAAAGCTGCCAGAATTTCTACCTTTTTATACAAAATATCCAAATGAAAAAGAAAGGGAAAAAAATGCTTTAAGAGACACTTTAGATTTTAGACTCAACTAGTAAACATGTAATAGAATTAAAGAATGACAAATTTCTAAAAAAAAAAAAAAAAGAGAGAGAGAGAGAGAGAAAATGGAGGATCAGTGGACAGACGTGCTGAGACCTTTCCAGATCATCCAAGTAGGATCTATTTATAATAGAGACTTGAAATATTCTCCTCTTACAAAACACCCTACACTTGTTTTTGAGCCTAAGTTCCATATTTATTCCTCGCAACTGACAATTTTCTGGGGCAAGATTTGTACCTACTGAAAAGTTGCCCAAGTCATACTACCTGGTGTGTGCTGTGTTCTTCGTCAATAACTAGCCTGATACTGCCCATCTCCTAAACTCCTAAACCACGTTTGCTAATATGTCATCACTTTCCTTAATATTTTGATTTTAAGATGCAAGTTTGGTCATTAATTTATACATTTCATATTTGCTTTAATCAACATTGCAACTTAATGAGTTTACTGACTATAAAGCCATCCCTACCACATTTCTTGAGCTACTTATTAATATGAGTGAATATATTTTATAAGAACCATGTGAGGAATTTGACATAAATTCCCTCATAATTCCACCAAACAAAATCAAATATATTTCAGTGAAATATATTTTTCAAATGTAAATAGAACTGAAGATAGGGACTAAAGAGAAGCCAAGCAGAGTCCTGGCTTCCATTAGACAGTAAATTTGTATAAAACGAAATGGTGGGAATATAGTGAGATCACCCACAAACTCTCCTTTGCCTATTTCCTTTGTAGGTTTATCCCATTTGGTGCTGTTTTAAAGGAGGAGATAGGGAGAGCTGCCCTGAGCAGAGGAGACATCCTCTTCTCTTCCTAGCTATTCAAGTCTTTATCTAAGTATTTATTTGCTTACATCTAGTTTTAGTCCTTAGAGATTTTCTGGGTCTAGGTGGATTAAGTAATAATGCTTGTCCTCGGAAACGTAACAAATGCTTGCCCATCATACAAAATCTGATGTCAATGTTTTTCTCAAAAACAAAATCCAATCGTCGTTGTAAATAATTCCTTTTAGATACTTTGGTTAAGAGCTCAGTATCATGCTGCTGTTTGTGCCTGCCTCTCTTGCTTTTCTTAATATATTTGCTATAGTTAATAACATCGAGTCGTATTAATCAGTAAGTGCCCAATCTATAGGGCTCTTTTATATATCCTCTGTTTTCCTCAACTGATAAGGCTGACGGTGAGAGCTGAGTGTCCAATGCATTTGGAGGACTTCCCTATGGATGCACATGCCTGCCCACTAAAATTTGGAAGCTGTGAGTAAATTTTTAATTTTAATTTTTCTTTATTCTTATGAGAGACCTAAGTCTTTATTTTTTTTAAAGATTTTATTTATTCATTTACTTATCTGAGACAGAGAGCAGGGGGAGGAATAGAGGGAGAGGGACAAACAGATTCCATACTAAGTGCAGAGCCTGATGCGGGGCTCGATCTCACAACTCTGAGATCATGACCTGAGCCAAAATCAAGAGTAGGATGCTTAGCTGACTGAGCCACCTAGGCACCCCTGAGAAACCTAAGTCTTTAAGCAAGAAATCTCCAATTAGTAAAACCTGTTAGAAGATAAAAAAAGATAAAAATGAAGAAAGTTCAGTGATTTGCTGCAAATACTTTCTAGGGGTGCCTGGATGACTTGGTATGTTAAGATTGTCTGCCCTCAGCTCAGGTCATGACCTCCAAGTCCTAGGATCAAGCCTTAATCAGGATTCCTGCTCAGTCTCTTTCTCCCCGTCCCCACCCCCACACCCCCCTCCTCGTTCTCTCTCTCTCCTTCTCTTTCTCAAATAAATACATGAAAACTTTAAAAAAATACTTTCTATAAGTAATAATCTTTAATTTCACTTTTAATGTTTTTCAGGAAGAGATTATTATAAGAAAGAGTGGATTTAATTAATTAGTGGAAAAATGCTACTTTTGTTAAAGCTGTATTCATGGAAAAACAAGTGGAGTATGGATGCTTTTACCACATAGATAATAACTCCCTGCCAATAGATGGAGATCACTGTGCTTATTTTGTGTCATTACTGACATTTGTTTGACTTTAAGAATATTGCAAGTTGTTTATCAGATGAAAATATTGGTAGGTGGCAGCAGTGGATGATAATCGTTTCTTCATAATGAAGCCTACACCTAACAAATATTGTCTGATGAGAATTTACCCTAATCATAACCTTTTGAAAAGTTCTAGATCTGGTTGGATATCCCTTGAAATTTATGTGTATATTCGTGCTTTTGAAGGTATCCTAGATACCTTTATGATAACTGTTGAGGCTTCTGCTATTTAAAACTGTGCAGGCACACATTAGAGGAGCCAAGAGAACAGAACTGTGCCCAGCAGAGTCAGGTTCTCTTGTCTTCCTCTAGCCTTCTGCTTTTGCCTAGTATGCATATATAAAGGGAGTAAGAAGTAAGAACAATGTATTCCTGGTTTCCTGCAGGAGAGTTACTTTTGGACTGAGTCAGCTCCTGGACTACCTAACCATCTTTCTGCTCCCACTAGACAGACCGTCTAAGCAACTATTTTGGTGAAGATATGATTCATAGAAAAAAAAAAAAGTGGTGGTGTAGGAAGACAGCAAGCAAAGAAAATAGCAAAGGGCCTTCAGGCTCCTAGCAGCTCTAGTCATGGAAAGACAAGTTTATTTATAAATTGAATTCTATACTGAAACCCAAGGACAAACTACTTCAAAAATTGTCAGCCAAACAGGCCTTTGGTGATAACTCCCTCCTCCTCACTCTTTTCCCAATTTAATGTATATTCTATGTTACAGACTACTATATTTTCTCCTGATTACCACCTCCATTTTTAACAATATTATGTATTATGTGTTACTGGTATGCCAGGCAGTATTTTAAACATTTGTATATGTATCAGCTCATCTAATCCACAAAATCTTATACTTAGAAAGATCGTGCATTATAGGTTGCCTGGGGCAGTACTTACTTTTGCCTTATATCCTAATATAACTACTAGTAGTGCCCCCTTTTACCTTCAGAAATACCTTATTTTGAACAACAAATTACTTGTTTAGTGTACTAATCAGGAATGCTCTCAAGCCGTGAGTATAACTAGCTGAAAAAGAAGAGGGGTTTATATTTTTATACAAGATGGATGATGGTAAGTGATTGTTGGTTGGTTGTTGTTTTGTCAGCATCTTAACAACAATGATGTTTAAGATGCCCTTAGATGTTCTTCCTGATCACAAGATGGTTGCTGCAACTCCAGCCATTGCATCTGCTTTCAAAATAAAGAATAGTGGACAAAGAAGAAAGAACGAGCACCTGTATTAAAGAGATAAAAGCTTTCCCTAAAATCCTAGCAGACATTTACGTGTATCTCATTAATCAAAGATGTGTCTCATTGCTAATGCTGACTACAAATGAGGCTGGGAAGAAATATTCTTAACTAAGCACATTGTTAGCCTGAAGAAAATAGGAGGTATTTTAGGAAGGAGGAAATGGATAGCAAGTAGAAAACACATAATGTCTCATGTAAGAAAACTGAAGTTAAATAAAAATCTGCTTTCTACCTCAGAGCCTTTATACATGCTCTTTTCTCTACTTGGGTTACTCTTCCCTTGGTTCTTCATGTAAGTGGCTTCTTCTATTTTTCACTTCTCAGCATAAATGTCATCTTCTGGGGCTTCCCTAATGACCTTATCTAAATTTACATACAGTCCCACCCATCTTCTTGATTATAATACATGTTTAATTTAGATGTATTATAGCAATAATTATTAGTTTTATTTATTGGTTGACATTTTTATTGTCTGGAGACTGTAAAACTCCCATGAAAGCACAACCTATTTTGTTCAGCATTTCCTAGTACAGAGCCTAATATGATGTAGACACTCAATAAATATTTATTGAATAGATAAAAATTATAGTAATCGGGTTTTAAATGCCCCTTTAATGTTTAAGTCTCAGAGAAGATTGCTTCAGAAAAGGGTTTAAGACCTGTGGGTAATTAAACAGAGAAGATTTGAAATTGAAAAATAAGCATCTGAGCTCAGTGAGAGAGTGCCATGACTAATTACCATCACCTGCCATTGGCTTGAGAAGAAGGAGTGGTGGTTGATTTATTGTATAGTTAGTTCTCTGTCCTGGCCTAACTAGCATACTTCTGAAATGAAGAAACTGAGGCAAAAGTGGGCTAAAAATGCATTGACCCAGCTTTTGAAGCAAACATCTTGCCAGAATCGCACAGAAGAAAATAATCAAGAGATAAGCTAGAAGATTTTGTAATAATTTAGTAGAATACTATGTAATAAATGCTAATGAAACAAAATCATCCATATGTTGATAGGAACTAACCTCAGAAAAGCAGATGTTTTCCACTTTCCATTACCACTTTCCATTCGACCCTGATTGTCAGTGTTACAGCACTCTTTTTGCTTATTGGGGATAAAGCCATCTTCATAAGGCCATATAACTAGAAGACAGTGTGCATGATTTAGTTGACATCTTTTAACTGCTTTTGAGGAAAATACAAAGAAGGCTTTGATTCTAAATGAAGAGATTCAGATGATATTCTGACAATAAGATGTAGGCAAGTGCTAGATCTAGTTATGGACTAGATAAATGATGGTTTCCTGGCTGATTATCAAGCATAGTGCCTTGTAAATAAGGAGAGAGGGATAAGTAGAAATTTAAACAAATTCTGAATAATAAATAACTTTGGAAATTATTTAGTGCACCTGCTTCATACAAATGAAAAGACAAAGGCCCGTAAAAGTGAAGAGATAGTGTCTTATTAGCAGATGCTCTTCTGATACCAAGTCTATGCTCCCAATGTTGTAGCACCACAGAGTTCTTTCATAAGCCCAACCAAAATTTTTTGTCTTCTTTTTAAATTTTTTCTGAGGTAATCTGCTAATTTATTTTAAATCTGAGCTCAACATTTTTACTAAGTAGCTGAAGACTCTTTTTAACCTTATCTTCTTTATGCTGATTAGTCTCAAATGAAGGAAGCAGTCATAGGACCTCCTTTTTAAGTACTAAAATGAAGAAATAAGGTATATCACCTATTGTGATGCCTTATATCATGAAACACCAACTTTCTTTTTTTTTTAAGTTTTTATTTAAATTCCATTTAGTTTGTTGGGGCACGTGGGTGGCTCAGTCTGTTGAGTGTCTGCCTTCAGCTCAAGTCATGATCCCGGGGTCTTGGGATCAAGCCCCACATTGGGTTCCCTGCTCAGTGGGAAGTCTGCTTCTCCCTCTGCCCCTCCCTCTGCTTATGCTCTCTCAGCCTCTTTCTCTCTCTCTCTCCCCCTAAATAATTTTTTAATCTTTAAAAAAATAAATTCCAGTTAGTTAGCATACAGTGTAATATTATTTTCAGGTATACAATGTAGTCAATCCACTCTTCCATAAAACACCTGGTACTCCACGCAACAAGTGCTCTCCTTCATCCCCATCCCCTGTTTAACCTTGTGGGTCCACTCTGCATTCTGGGAGATTTCCATTGAGAGACATGGACAATATGTCATCTCCACTTTCACAGCAACGCTGAGTTTATTGTAGGTTTCATACACAGTGGAGTTTCTAAGAGATTGCAAGTGTGAGACATTGAATTATATGAAGTTTAAAGGGGATGGTAACAGATTTTTTTCATCTAAAACTATATTAGCAGCCTATCAACAACACATGATGAAGTTCAAAAAAGTAGAGTCCAGGCATTACTGCTAATCATAGTGCAATACAGTAGCAAGAGTTTTTTCATTTGTTACAAAAATAGCACGAGGTTTAGAATTGGTTTCATCCCAAATTACTTGACCACTAAGTATCCCCTTGCTTGGATTTTGAGCATATAATATACAGTTTTTGCCTAGGAAATCCTTATTAATAACAGTAGGGTAGAAAGAATGTCATTCTATGCTCTTATCTCTGTTTGTTTCACTAAATAGCTATTTAAATATTTAAGCCCTTAAATAAGCCATTCAATGTTTCTGTGCTTTAGTTTATCATCTGTAAAATGAGACAAACTATATAACCTCTAAAGTCCTTCCATGTTAACAATCAGTGATTCTGTGTTACCATAAACTTGAGATGTGTTCTTAGGTTAGACCTTTCCATTAAAAAAAGAAAAATTTACCATGATGGGAAAAATATTTTACTGAATATAAGTTCTTACAAACTGTGAGCAATATGGTTCTTCTCAACTAGTGCTCTGCGCTTCGAGGGATTTTTAAAACTAAACATGTTTTAGATGCTAACAAATGCAGTCCTCCTCCTTAAGAAATGCAATGCTGAAATGATTCAAAATTTAAGTTTATGAGACATGTTAGCTCAATGGTAGGAATTATTTCACAATGTATATGTATATCAAATCTTCATGTTGTATACTTTAAATACCTTATAATTTTATTTTCAATTTTACCTTAATAAAGCCGTGTGTGTGTGTGTGTGTGTGTGTGTGTATAAAACATCTAACAGCATATACTGTCATTCCACCCCATGTGTAGTGGGTATTCTGTGACTAGAAACCAGAAAAGATATGGAATCCCTTCTTCTCCTTCACACTCATTCTATACATCTCTTCCCCCAACCTTCCTGAACTACGGATCAGGATTATGACCTCATCTCTCTCTCTCTACGGATCAGGATTATGACCTCATCCTAGGATGGCTAGGTTAAAAGTAACATGGAGAATGAAAATGATTGAGAAGTGCAATGAGCTAAATCGTGTAACTCATCAACATCATCATCGTGATAGTAAACATCCATAAAAAGGAGAATTAATTAAGAGGAAGTAAAGTTACACTTCCTTTAAAAATGGGTGCTTGGTAGAATTTCTGGTGTTATATTTCATATTTATCATGATCTTCCCTTGGCCTGACATAATCCAGACCCAGGCTTCTGCCTCTAACCGTATTTCATCTCTCATGTACACAGATTTAGTCACATTGGTATTCCTGCTCTTACTCAAACATATCAAGCTTTTACCAGGACCAGAGGAAGAAACTTCTTTGTTCACCTATCCAACAAACTCTTCCCCAAGACATACCCTACTCTCATTTCTGTCATGCATTTAACTGTCAGTTCCTCAAGGACCCTCTCCGAGTCCTTCATCTAAAATAGGCCCACATCCTTCATTCTCTACTCCCTTAGCCTATTGTGTATGGCTTTATTGCATTTAACATTACTTGAAATTATGTGTTTATTAGCTTGTCTGTTTTTGTCCCCATTACTGCTGTGCATATTCCACAACATCAGGGAAACTTGTTCGTTACGGATTTTTTCAGCAAAGTTCTTTGTCTTTTGTAGATGCTCAATAACCATTTGCTGTAAAAGTGAACAGATGACTGAACAAATCAGGAAAACGTGTTTTAATTTTCCTAAGCCAAAGAACATGGGCTCTTTTTTTCCTGGCCTGCTCACTGGAACCATGCAATTGAAAATAGGAAACTAATAGCACTTATCAGCTAGTGAGGAGTATCAAAGTAACATGACACATGGACATTTTCCTTCCTTTCCTTTTAGATGCCTATACCAGAGCAGAAGTTGTTTATGAGTGGACCAGAGAGCCAGCACGCTCGGTGGTTGTAGCAGAAGATGGGTCACGCCTAAACCAGTATGATCTTCTTGGGCAAACAGTAGACTCGGGAATTGTTCAGTCTAGTACAGGTAAGTGCCAGTTGATTATTCCAGATATGTCAGAAGAAATATAAACAGTTTTTGTGAGAATGTGAGAATTCAGTAAGTTCTTCAATAACACAAGTAGAAAGAGAGAGAAAATTTCACTAACCTGAGACTACCTAAGCTAGGAACTAGTGTAAACTCTATAGATTTGTGCCCTTGTATTCCTCATTTAATGTCTTTTGGCCTCTGTTTCTTGGTTTGCAAAATAAGATGCTAGTTCTATGTGATCAGGGTAGCAGAGTATTTAGAAATGTGAACTCTGGGGAAGAATGTATGGATTAAATTCTTACTCTTCCACTTTGTGTGTTGATTGTGGTCACCTCACAGGGTTGTTAGAAGGCATGAATTAAATCCATGAAGAGTACTTTAATAGCTTCTGGCATATAAAAAAAAAATCTCAAAAAATGTTAGCTATTAATATTATCTAGGCCTGATTTATTATAATGAGTCAGTGAATCTTGGTGAATTTGTAGCAGTGATCATTATACATAAGAACTAGAGCAGATACTATTAAGCAGCTAGACCCAAATTTTAAATTTTGAAGTTGCTTCAAGAAATAAGTTTAGTTATGCAAATATCCATTTGTGACTAAATGTAATGTGATCGTTAACCCTTCCTCAATCCCAATAATTTTAATTATGTTCAGTCAATGAAAGCTTAACAAGAGCCAGAAGTTTTTATAGCTGTCTTTAAAATTTTAAATTAGTTCATCCACTTTGGTAATTTCTTTTAAAAAATGCAATTTGGTAATATATAAGGGCAGATGTGCTATTCTTGTCAGAAAAAATTTCTTCCTTAGATTTCAGGTTTTATCTTAGGACCCTGATAATTCTAACAAGTTCAAGTAATAGGTCAATATATCTTATTCTGGCTATTAGAAAATCCCTGTTTAATGGGATCTGCATTTTGCTTATTTTGCCGCAACCATGGCTACTCTGGAAGCCCAAATATTTATGTTTCTTCTTTTGAAAAATGGAGAAGATTGTTGCTCAGTTTTGCCCATGTTAAAAATACATGTGTCATAGTGGAAAGATTTTAGGCTTTGTAGTGAGAAAGAGATGCACTCAAGTCCTGGTCCTGCCACATAGAAGTCTTGTGACTTTGGCAAAGTCATTTATCCAACTAGAAACTCTGGTCTCCTCTAAAATGTGGGCATTTTATACTTTTGCATTAAAGATGAGATGATATAAAACACTAAGCAGAACATATATATGGTAAGTGCTCAAAATGGTATGTCGTCTGAGATCCCAAAACATGGAAAAATACTGAAAATTTCTCTCGCTTGTAAGTTATGTGGGAAAACATTCTAAAATGAGCAGTGTTCACCTTTAAAAATCAAATGCTATTATAAACTGGATTTTGTGGTAGACACTGGAGAGTCAATCAAAGACAAGGCAGAGAGCTTGCTGTCATGGAATCTAAAGTCTAAGGGAAGACAAACACATAAACTATAATTATCAAAATGGGTGGTAAATGCTGTGATTAACATTTTTGTGAGGGCAGGGACCATATCTGTCTTCTGTATCCCTATCATTTACTATAGTAACTAAAACAGAAGAGGCACTAAATAAATATTGTGAACTAATGAATAAAACAATAAATGTACCCATCCTAGAATAATCAACGAGGAATTGCTGCAGGGGTTGACTTTTATGTTGTTAATCTGTATTTGTTGGAAACCAAATAATCACTGTTTTAGGCCCAGAACATTGAAAATAATAAACATAGAACTTACCCTCAAGAAATTCTCCATTATCATTAGAATAAAGGCTGAGGGATATGAAAGCAACAATAACTCAACCCCAGTGGCATGCATTCAATAGCAGAAGTAGACACAAGCCAGGAGGGTTACCCAAAGAAAGGAGTGCCTCACTCCAGTTGTAGTGCTAGTGACCTTGACATGTCATTTCATCCCTCTTTAGGACCAATTTCCGTGTCGGCAAAGTGAGTGGCTCATTCTGATAAACTTGGAGATGTTTCTGCCTTCATCAGGATTTAGGCTACATGCACTGTAGTTATTCAAAACTGATATACAGACATACATGGAGCTAGGAAATGAGAGGCAGGGCCCAACCCCCCATCACCAAACTGGCTGTACCTCATACTCTGGGTCTTTTGAAAGTACTCAATCTGTGCTAAAGCAGCAAGTTTACCTATACAAACAAGAACTCTTTCTTGTCATTCCCATAATTGATACAGGTGGGGAGGAAGGGAAGGGAGGTAAGGAAAATAGTGAGAAAATTCTCAGATGTAGGGGTTCAGTTTGGTGTACACTTTCAACCTTACAATAAAACACTGAACTAAACACTTCCTCTGGGTCCACTTTAGCTCATCAAAAATCCACCCGATAGATTTCTGTGGGAAGAAACAAAGATCTTTTTAAGGTCTTCCATTCCATATTTCACAAATCCTTGCAGAGTCCTAAAAATATTAAGATAAATGGCATTGAGTACTTTACCTCCCTCTTTTTGCCAGAAGACTAGGAATGATAGCAAGAAAGAGCACCACATGGAGAATGATTAGGTAAAAAACCATCCTCCTCTACCTTAAAATTCTCTGCGGGGAGAGAAGCAATTCAAATCACCTCTTAGAAGGGGTTTCCCTGCTTGCCTGAGCCAACTTACGTGTGAACACACATTCATAGGTACTACCAGCAATCTCTTTCAAGTCAAATACCTCTAGATCACTTCAGTGACATAGGAGGGGGGAATATGAGGCTCGATCCACTGCTTGGATTTTTTAATTCAGTACAAAACCATTAAAGTCCCAGTATCTTTCCTGAGGTCTGCCACCAGATTTGGGAGAAGACAGTAAGTTGGAGAGTTAGTTTGAAGTACACCTACTCACCTGGCAGAGGAAAACCTTTACAGTCACATGGAAGGATGAGTCCAGTGAGCTCTCAAATCCAATACAATTCTTTGTTACCCAATACAATTTATTCACTAATTCCTTCAACCATTTATTCACTTTCAGTGTTTGACATTGTAATTGGGCCTGGGAAAGATAGATGAAGGTCATTTAATTCCTGCCCTCAAGAAATTCATAATTGATTGCTGTAAGTAGCTAACATGCTCATGGCATTGTTCTAATATGACAATCCCAGGATATAGGTATTAACTTTATTATATCCATTTTGCAGATGGGACATAATTGAAGCCAGAGAGATTTAACTGCTTTTCCTAAGTCACACAGTGAGGAAATGGCAGAGCTGAGATTTGAACCTGGGGGTAGTCTAGCTGCAGAGTGCTCAACCACATGACTAGTAACAGGCAACATAGACATGTGTGAAATGCAAGGCTGTGGTACAGCATGGATTTAAGAGTGTGGACTCTGGAATTATACTGTGAAGGTTTAAATGCTGGTTATACTACTTATTAACTGTCTGACCTTTGGCAAGACATTTCTCTGTTCATCTTTCTCTTGTAAAATTTGTAGATGATAAAAGGATCTACTTCATGAGCTGCTCTGAGATTGAAATAAGAAAAATGCATGTAACCTGCTTAGCAGAGTGTCTGACATATAAAAATTATGTAATAAATATTATATATTACTATTAATAATGATGATAGAGTTAGTGCAAGGGAGTGACATAACATAAAGAAGTCATTTCTGCTTGAAGTATCAGAGAAGGCAGTTTGGAACTGGACCCCAGACATTGCCCCTTATCTCATTCTACTATACTGCATTATGTTTCCTAAGTAATTTTTTAAGGAGAGCCTGTACAGAAATTATAACCATGACTAAAGAGCATGAAAATATGACTTATACAGAGAAATATAATAATTAAATTAGTGACCAGGCATAATGATAATATCATGGCCAGAAAATAATAAGAATATAATAATGTACAATGCCTTTTTAAAATACATAGTGGTGCCTGTAAAACCTTCATATTTACCAAAGTCAAAGAGAGATTTGATCAAAGGAATTTTAGGTTAGCCTTGCTGAATAAGAATGTTTCTTCTTTATGAGTGGCTGTCTTATCCTTAGAACAAATGACCAAGAGAAATTGTGAGATCCTCTTTCTTAAAGATAGTCTTTTCTGGATGAGTTGATTTAAGGATGACACTGCAGGCTCAAAACGAATGAGGAAAACAAGCATTTTCCCTGACCAGGGGGCAATAAGAGTGATCAGCATTCATCCAAGGATCCTTAGAGCCCCCATTTACAAAGCCTAGTATATGATCTCCAGAGAAATAACTGTAGCCATAAAATGTAAAAAGTAGGGATTGGGGGTAGGGTAGTTATCTGGTCAATTCATATTTCAGATGAAGAGACAGGTCTAGAAAGATTCAGTGGCCTAGAACTCTAGCCATTTTTTTTTTCTTATTTCTATTCCAGAACTCTTTGACACAGATATTAAAATACCAGTTCCTCCCTCAATGTTATCTTTTGATTTCTCATTCCTATTAAAAAATCAGCATAAAAACTTAGGAAATACATAGCTTAGAAAACACAAAGTTAAGAATACTTGGAAGGAAAGTGATCTATTAGGGACCTATTATAGACTTATAGGGACCCAATGTTCATTATAACTTCATTGACGTGAATGGTTGCTTTCTAGAGCTGGAGAGACTATATTTCTATCGTTTCTATCTTGCACTCTCAATTTGCACATGACTCAATTTTTTTTAAATGACTTTCATATCTATCATTTCATTGTATCCTTCCAACATCCTAAGAAATAGTTAAGTAAAGCACTATTATTTTAATTGAACAAATTAGGAAACTGAAGTCAAATAAAGTTAAGCAAAGTATTTACTCTTCAAGTACATGGAAGCCATTTACTAAACAAACCCTCAAAGCTCCTTTATAGAATTCTATCCCTGCTTCTTTTCTTTCTTTCTCCTTAATTTTGTATGGTAATGTATCAGAAATATTGTCACATCTAATTTACAAGCTTCCCTGAGGGTTACATGATATGCAAGGATATTTGAATTATAATTCTTCTAGACTGTTGAATTAGAGGAAAAGAATTTGACATGCTTAGCGTATAAGCCCTTGATGTCTAGAGATTTCTTTCAATTCAATTTAGGAGATTGATTTTTTTGTTGTTGTGTTCTTCTTTTATTTTTAAACTATTACAACATCATTCTGATTTTGCTGCCTTTTTTCTCCTTACTTACATGTTCTGTGCCAAAACTTCTTAGATTTTTTTTTAATTTAGGAAAATGGTTTCAATAGATTTGAAATCCTTCTATTCTTTCTCTAACTTGTTAGTGAGGAAGTGGTTTATAGAACAAACATAATGTGGAATAATAGCTCCTCCAAAATAATATTCTCTGCAGAATCTTCCTAAAATGTCACATTGCGAACAACAAAAGATGATAATGGAATATGTATAGACACTCATCCTTCTGACATTATATCAAAGATGGAATTTTTTCTTTGAGCTGATGACATTTTGTAAACCACAGTTGAATGAATGGTTAGGAATAATAATGCATACTCCTGAGAGGATGAAATGTAACATGGCCATGTCCACACAAGACTACATTTTAGTAGTCCTGAAAAAATTGGTTTTCTGCTTTTTTCTGAAATTTGAATCACTCATTTCTTTCAGATGACCTTGGAGTCATCACCCAGGGTGTCTACAGAAACCGAGAAGAAATTAGTAAACATTGTATTTGCCCTCCCAAATAGAGAGCCTCATGGATGTTAATTTAAGTGAGCACCCTTAAACCTCAATGCATCCCTTTTCACCATGCACAGATGTTAAATACTTAAAGTATGTAAAGCCATGCTATATTCAAAGAACTGTCCTCTTCCAAATTAACTCTCAGTTTGATAAGAGGGATAGAAGGATATAAGTTAGCTAAAATAAAAAGTGTGAGATTTTATTATAAATGTAAACAGAAGCTATAAATAAATTTGAAGTTACTTACTAGTGATCAGTCAATGGCAATTGTTATTAATAATTAGCAGTGAAAGCATACTTGTGCGTGTGAATGATTTTCTCCTATAAAGAATAAATGCATTTATTTTACCAATATTTTTACCAATTCTGATTGGAGGGAAAAGAGAAGAAAATGGAGAAGGGAACCAAAATTTATTTTGAAACTCTTACATGGCATTATCTTAATTAGAGCCCTTATTCTTTATCCTCCCCACAATATACTTCTCACTTTTTTTTAAAGATTTTATTTATTTATTTGACAGAGAGAGATCACAAGTAGACAGAGAGAGAGAGAGAGGGAAGCAGTCTCCCTGCTGAGCAGAGAGCCCGATGCGGGACTTGATCCCAGGATCCTGAGATCATGACCTAAGCAGAGAAGGCAGAAGCTTAACCCACTGAGCCACCCAGTCGCCCATACTTATCGCTTTTTTATAGATTAGGAAACTGAGGATTAGAGACTGTAAGCAAGTTACCCATGGCTATCCAGAAAGAAAATAGTGTATCTAAGTTTTGAACCCAAATCCATTTGCTTCCAAAGCTGATAAACTTTCCTTTACAGCACATTTCTTCCTCTTCTGCTATGGACTGAACCCAACCCAAAGATGAACAAAATATTCAGCAATAATAGATGTGAAGTAGAGGATTTTGTTGGTCATGATACTGAGATGTGAAAATGCATGGTAAGGCAAGAAACATGGCACTGAAATGCTTATTAGAGCTATGATATGGAGAGTCTTAAATCCAGGTAACAGAGTTTGCTGTCAGTAGGAACACTGGAGACTGTTGATTGTCACATTGGAGAAGGGCGAGGCATTTGCTAGTATCATCTAGTGAGTACAGGTCAACTAATACTGGGACAGCCCCCACAACAAACAATTATCTGGTCTGAAATGTCAATAGTGCTGAGACTGAGAAATCTTAATGTAGATAATGGAATCCATTAAGGTATTTTAAGATTTTATGTATGCTTTAAAAAGATTACTCTGACATCAAAATTTTGGGAAAACTGAATGAGGAAGTGATTGGAGATAAACAAGGCAGTTAATAGATCTACAAAAGAGATAAGAGCAGTGACCAAGAGATAAGAGATAGACTGAAAGATACTGCCCAGGAGAAATTAAAATTGTGATGATCAACTGATTCCTTTCTCTCTCTCTCAGAAGCCATACTTAACATCCAAGTTTTGATCCCAGGATTTTAGTCTGAGTGAGCAGACAGATGAGAGAGTATCATGAATTTAGAGATAGACTTTAAATGGGAAAGCAGCACAGGTATATACTCGTCATTATTTTTTTTAATGGGAAAAGTTAACTAATGTCAGTTTTTGAACATATTTACTTGGTGATGTCAATGAAAAATCAGTATTTCTGAGATGTCCAGTAGATATTGGGAATACAGGTTGATTCTGAAAGCAGTGTCATTTAGGGCTGTGGATTTGGCAGCCCTTCAGATACAAATGAGTCTAGGGGCAGGAGGAGAAGGGAAGTTCCTGGTTAGAGCCAAAAAAAAAAAAAAAAAGTGGAAGAAACCTAAAAGCAGAACTACACCAGGAACCTCTATGATTACTTTGCAGAAAGATGAAGAGTGGGGTATTAATAGGTTGTGAACAGTTTTAGTTACATTGTAGGGGCTGAAGCTAGATGGTCATGGGCTGGTCATGGTCACAGGTTGCATAGGGCAAAATTTGGAGTTAAAAGGAAGGAGAAAGGTGAAGTAATGTGAATACCAAAGAAAGCTGTGTTTTCTTAGTAAGAATACACTTATTTCTCTCCTCCCCCACCCCCCCAGACAGCTAAGTATATACTCAGAGTGGATAAAGCTAAAATTTTCTAAGACTTGTAATTGAAAAAATATAACATCAGTTAAAAAAAAAAAAAAAACTCCTATAATTTGGGTTGCATGTCAATCGCTTTGGTAAATGAAATTGCTTTTCTAAATGAAATCAGACTTTGATATATACAAAGACATTAAGTGTGCCCAGCTAGTCCATTGTTTCCTAGCCCAGGCTATGGAATTGGAACAGTTCAAAAGCTATATTGAAGTGGATTTTCCTTGGCCTCCCTTAAAGAATGGTTTGTGTATCTAGGTGGGACCTGAAGAACTGAATGTTTCAAAACCTTCCCAGGTGATTCTGGTGGAGGTATTCCTCAAAATAAATTTTGAGAAACCATGGATTATATCCCACTCTCCTCATTCCAAAGATCAGGCTAAGCTAAATGAGTTACCCAGGGCCACAGAGCAGCTGAAAGGAAGTGCTGGCATTAGAACAGGAATTCCCCCAAAGTTGGACACCAAAGCTCCTTCATTAGACAGCCTGAATGTCCTCCACAGTGGTAAACTGGGGATTTGATCTGTTCTGACCCATTACTGTGTGTCATCAGGATCTTGCACTTTGCCTTCATGGTCATTAGAGCCATTCTGTAAATAGATACTCTATATCTCTTACATGTTCGATACACCGGGATAAGGGTGTAGCAGTATCCATAAGATCTCTGGCACCTCAGTCTTATCCTCAACCCCATTTTGGTGTTTTAATAATGTCTCTGTTCTTTCCTGGATAAACATTTTCTCTTCAGGAACCAGATTCACATGGGACATGTTTTAAGTCTAAGATTTTGCTGTTGATGGAAAAAAATCCAGAGATAATTTCTTTTCAGGGTCAAATTGCTCACTTTATTGTATGTTTCACCCTCTAGGAGAATATGTTGTTATGACCACTCATTTCCACCTGAAGAGAAAAATTGGCTATTTCGTTATTCAAACATACCTGCCATGCATAATGACAGTTATTCTCTCCCAAGTTTCATTCTGGCTCAACAGAGAGTCTGTACCAGCGAGGACTGTCTTTGGTAAGTGCCAATCAAGACATACAGGCAAGGGTCTGGAGGGCAAGTTATATTATGCTGGTGACGTTACAAGTGGAATGAAAAAATAATTATACATTAAAATCTGAAGTTAGCACAATAGAAAGGTTCAAAGAATTACCATTCTCATTGTGGTGTGATTTTAAAAAAAAAAAAAAAAACCTCTTTCTTTAAATAGAAAGCTGTTTTAATGTATGTAGATAAATGCATGTGAATATCAACTAGGCATGTGCTATGTTTAAGACTCTTACTACGGAATAAAAAGCCTTAAGATGTTTATAATCTAATCTGAAGATTATTCATGTGCAGAGATCCCTATGGTATCATTCTTCAAGAATAGGCAAGGAATGGAAAATCAGTTATCTCAGGAAAAAAGCAAGACTTTGCTACAAGTGCCCCGGAAAGAGTCTTTTCTTCTGAATTTATCAAAGTGCTTCCAGGTTGAAACTGCCAAATCTTTGCTCTGACAGTAGCCTAGGAACACAGGTATATTAAGATCCAGAATGCTTCCAGCTGCAGAGCACAAGAGTAGTTCATTTCAAACTTTTTAAAAAATTATCATTTGTTAGTATTAGCTAGTCTTGAAGCCACTTACAAGCACTAAATCCTGAACTCTTGTCAAGATGCTTATTTCTATATGTATATTCAGTTTGAGGCCTTTATTCACTGAAAATTAAGAAAAATAGAATAGAGAGCATATGTTTTATTTTTATTTTTGTAAGAATGAACAATAATGCTATAGTGAAAAAGATTTTTTTAAATGCTCACCCTTCCCCCTTCTTACCCTAATAAATCTTACTCTTCCTTTTTGAAAATTCTCTAAAGCATTTGGAATGTTTAATAAGTCAAAAACCTTGCTCTTAACATTTTCAACAATCTGATGTCTCAGCCAACTCATGCCCTTTCGGTGAGCATAACTACATATCTGTAAACTCAAATGTGGCCAAGTATTTCTGTGTATCAAGTTATATATTTCTAATGTTTTAAGTTCCGTACAATCACAAATACAATTTCCCAAGACCTTTAGCCTTTTAACATTTACTTAGAACACATATTTCTATTGTTTTTAGTCTCAACTCAGCACTTTCCTCTGTGCTGAGTGAGAAGTCTGAGAGGGTCACAGATGTTTAAAGAAACAATACACAAAGGAAAAAGAAAAAGGTACAAAAGTTGGACTTTGTAACAGTTTAGTATAAGGCATCCAGAATGCAGCAATGCTGAAGCCTGTTTTATGTCTTCAAAAGTCATCTTCTTGTGCTCCATGCTGTCATTTAGAGGCAATGCGGTTGTGTAATTTTGCTGCCAGATAGATCCAAGTTTTAGGTTCCGTCTTCATTTTTGTAAGATTCAGTTACCTAAAAGTAAGGGGTTTACGGGGTAGAGAAGGAAAGATGAGATTGGGAGGGAGACAAATCCTAAGAGACTCTTAATTTCACAAAACAAACTGAGGGTTGCCAGGGGGAGGGGGGTAGGGAGAGGGTCGTTGGATATTGGGAAGGGTATGTGCTATGGTGAGTGCTGTGAAGTGTGTAAACCTGGCGATTCACAGACCTGTACCCCTGGGGCTAATAATACATTATATGTTAATTAAAAAAATTTAAAAAAAAAGATTCAGTTGCCTATAAAATGAGAGTACAGTTAAAGTAAAATAGTGCTGTTTAAAAGATTGAGAAGAATAAAATAAAATATGTAAATTATCAGGTTGAATTCTTGGAACTCAGTAGATGCTCAACACATTTTTGTCCTTTTCCCTGTCCTTATAGCAGGAATTGTAAGACAACAAACACACGCACACGCGCATACGCGTACACACACCCCTCTCTTTATGCCCTTCTTAATTTATGGATACATTTAGTTTAAGAGCATACATTTCCAAATTAACTTCTGACAGTTGCCTTCATGAACCAAATTTTGGGAAAAAAAAGGAATTCACTCTAGCAGAGATTTATTAACAAGGACTGAAGTTGTCAATAATAATAGCCATTAACTTTGTTCGTGGTATCAGGTTCAATGCTAAACACTTTATTACAGTAGTTTATTTAATACTCGTAATAACCCTCTGAGTTAGACTTACTAATTTATAAAGAAATAATTTTTTAAAAGATTTTATTTATTTATTTGACAGATCACAAGCAGGCAGAGAGGGAGGCAGAGGGAGGAAGGGAAGCAGGCTCCCTGCTGAGCAGAGAGCCCAGTGTGGGGCTCCATCCCAGGACCCCAGGATCATGACCTGAGCCGAAGGCAGAGGCTTTAACCCACTGAGCCACCCAGGTGCCCCAAGAAATAATTAAAAAAAAAAAAAAAAAACAGAAGTTCAGAATTGTGAGGCAATTTTTTCCCATTCAGCAGTGAAAGAACTGGGATGTGAAACTGGGCTGTTCTGTTCCTCAAATACGGACATTTAAGTACCTTGCTCTCTGCTCCTGTTAATATTGATATGTAAATTTAAGGGCTGTTTACCAGTCACTATTTCTTAAACCATCTGTTGGTTATATAATACAGGTAATGCCCCAGAACTTTCTGTAACATCTCCAAAGCCTAAAGTAAGTCCATTCCCTACATCTGCGATCGTGTATCAAAAATATGATTTAATAGAAGTCTCTGTGTTTCTTCTTAATCTTATCACTTCCTAACGTAGGAAGTGTTACAAAGATCATCTACCTTAAAATTCATGGAAAACTAGGGAATATTGGATGGTTTAAAAAAAGCTATGAAAGGGGCACCTATGGTCCTGCTGGTTTCCCTTTGCACAAGTAGGCTGACCTTCAGTGATCAAATTTTGTGATGTGAACCCACAGATTCACTTAATTTCTTTCTTTACAGGAGTAACAACTGTACTCACCATGACAACTTTGAGTATCAGTGCCAGAAACTCCCTCCCTAAGGTGGCTTACGCCACTGCTATGGACTGGTTCATTGCAGTGTGCTATGCCTTTGTGTTCTCAGCTCTGATCGAGTTTGCCACAGTCAATTATTTCACCAAGAGAGGTTATGCATGGGATGGCAAAAGTGTGGTTCCAGAAAAGGTAAGTACTTTAATATTCCCTATGATCTGTCACTGGTATGTTTTATTCAACCTGCGGTATGGCATGTTTGGACTTTGGGAAATGGATGAAGAGTGCAGACACAGACTAATGAGGATTCTCTGTTTCTTAAATCATAAGTGACTGTCTGCTGTGGCAATTTTGGTACTGCTAAAGAGAGAGGTTGTTTTAAGTGGGCCGATGTGCAGAGTAGAGTGAAGGAGATAAAAGAGAGATGAACGTAAACATTTATTCTCAAATATGTTTTCCTGGGTCTCTATTGATTTAAGAACAGTTTTATTCAACTTGACATTAGGTGCAAATAAATTTATGCCATTGTAATTTGAACTTGAAAATAATAGTCTTTTTGTTGTTTTCAGAGCTTAATCACTTTGGTCATAAAAATTATTAACTCTAATGTCTCTGTTGAACTTAGTTTACAAAATGTATTATCTCCAATTTCAGTGAAGTAAAGGACAGGAAATATATTTCCTTTCCAAATTAAAGGTTTGCTTTAAGGATCATACACAAATCACAGAAAAATTCTTCATTATAGAAAATTATCAAGTCAAGCTCATTACTGTTTCTCTAAATTAGAACCTAATTTGGAATGTATTTTAAAGCACATGTGGTGAGGCTATTTCTACTTCTATGGTTTGAGGAAAAATATGTCAAAATGCAAGTGAGTCTTGGGATGGTAGAAAGGTCAAAGTCAGAGACACAGAGATTGTAAGATGTCTAGAAATAATCTAGGAGGAATCACTCTATAGCAGCTTTTTCCCAAAATTCTATTCCTCAGAGTACTAGTATCATGAGTTAGTCCCTAAGAATAAAGTCTGGTTGAATACTCCCAAATAATGCCGTGTCCTATATCACAGAGTCTCAGGATATTCAAGAACCGGGAAGGGTTTATGGTAAAGAGATTAACTATGGTATTTTTCTCAGGGCTCCACAGATGTACTAGAAAAGAGAATCCTTTGTGGTGGAAACCTCTACCATATTTAAACTAATTTAAAGTGTTACCTATTATGGGATGGGCCATTAATACATGCATAAGTAGGAAAGAAAAGAAGCTGACAAGGAAAAGCTCCTTTAGATTTGCCCCTCAGGCACAGACGAATCAGCTGAACCCCCCAGTGGTCTCCTACACAAGTAAAAGCAAAAGAAAGTCTGTGTAGAATGCATTATGACAGCCAACAGAACCTGAACCAGGCCCTCGATATTCACTTGTCTTAAAACATACTTGCAAAGTATGAAAAAAAAATTTTTTTTTTCTCTTAATTTGCAAACCAAGGACCTTGGCTCAGGTTCAGTAGAGAGAAAGGACAAGACAAAGGGATTCGCATTTACCAGTTGGAGAGAGGAGTGAAAGAGTGAGGACAGAGTGACGGTCAGATACGTACTTTAGCCATTGATGGTCTCCATTTGTACTAGAACAGAAGGGGAGACCAAAGGAGAGTGAGCCAAACATGGAAAATAGTTAATCATAAGACACCACCAAAGTGTAAGACATAGCCCAGAGTCACAAATGTGAACATGTTTAAATGCACATCTCAGAATCGGGGAAATCGTCTGCTAAAGTGCTTCAGAATTAATGGTACGCAAACGTGGGTGATAGACAACTGAATAGTCATATGCCAACCGTGGGAAAAATTGCTTTTCTAGCTGAATACTTTCTTTGTTGCAAGAGGCCAGTGTCTTTCTGATTCTGTCTCATCAGTGTCAGTATCCGTATCATGAATTTGGTCTGAAAAACGTACAATTTGGATTGAGGCATCGGTTGAGTTCACAGTCCACTTTATATTTATCTCTGTCTGACCCTGTATTTTTTTTTCAAGTGCTGTGTCTCATCAAAAATACTCTGATCTCCATCAATCTACAGTCCATGTTATTCAGCATATAAATATAGATGTAGTGTCATTATCCTATCTATATATATGCATATATATTTATCAGTAATTCATCTAAGCTCATCCTGATGAGAAAGATAACACTTTCTGTAAATTATCTATGCCTCTAAAATAATCTTCCCCAGGGCTTTGCCAGTTTCATTTGCTTATATCAGGGAGTGTGAGCATAGTGTGATCCAGGTCTCATTTTGACATTCAGAGAAGATGAATAAAATATGTTTTCTATGACCCAGGTGAGTGTTTTCAGGAGAGTTAAATTTTCAGTCTCTAACATGGTATAACTTGAAATTAAAAAGCAAATTTCTGTAAGTCATCACATTATCAACTGAGGATTCAGGAGCCTGCTTAAGATCCATATTCATATGGTAAATTGCTAAAAGAAATACCAATTTCTTAAAGAATATGGGGGAACTCAACATTCTCAAAAATTTAGAAAGATAATTAAGTATTCTTTCCTGATAAGCCAACCACATATTTCTCAATATTGTATTCAACATGATGTTGCAAAAAAAAGTTCTTAACTTGAGAAGCATTAGTATTGGAGTATTATAATAATTTGAGACTAGGAAAAATGAAATATATCAATAATATAAACTCTTCTCCAAGAATCATTCCTGCTGCAGATTGTTTCAGTTTATCTAACAGAATGTCTGTCACTCAACAAGTTTTGATTATATTGGAACCCATTGCCTCTCTTCCACAATAGAGTACATAAACATTTTATCTAAAGGACATGCACGGTTTTTAACGTCTGCAATGTTAGAACTTTTATTTTTAAGAAATGGACTAACACAAGTTCAGTTTGGCTGTTTAACTGTGTTGAAATAAACCATATCTATTCTTTCATTCCAGTAAAGATTATACAAAGTGTTACATTAATTTCAGGTGTACAGCCTAGTGATTCCCCAACTGTATACATTAATGCTGTGCTCACCACAAATGTAGCTACCAATGGTCACCATACAATGCTGTTACAATACCATTGACTATATTCCTAATGCTGTGCCTTTTAATCCTATGATGTATTCATTCTGTAACCAGAAGCCTGTATTTCTCACTTCCCTTCACCCATTTTGCCTATCCACCCCTGTGCCCTCCCCTCTGGCAACCAATAATTTGTTCTCTGTATTTATGGTTCTCTTTCTGCTTTGTGTTCATTTATTCATTTGTTTTGTTTATTAGATTCCATATATAAGTGAAATCATATGGTATTAGTCTTTCCCTGTGTGACATATTAAACCATATCTATTTTTGACCTGTAGTCACTTTGACATTGAAAGAGAGAATCACTTTTACTTGCATTATTTTTGTACAAATAATTATGGGAAATTTCTGTCACTCTTTATAAAGCTTAACCAAATCTGTCTTCACTATAAAATAGGAGTACATAAGTGGCCTTACTTTTTTTAAAAAGATTTATTTATTTACTTGAAAGAGAGAGAGAGAGAGCGCAAGCATGAGTGGGGGGAGGGGCAGAGAAAGGGAGAAAGAGAATCTCAAGCAGACTCCACACTGAGCAGGGAGCCTGATGCAGGGCTTGATCTCAGGACTCTGAGACTATGACCTGAGCCAAAACTGAGAGTTGGATGCTTAACTAACTGAGCCACCCAGTGCCCCTAAGTGGCCTTACTTTTAATGACGTTATACTAGAAAGAAAAAATTCTGGGCTTTTTGTCATGTCCTAATATAATTCTTAAGGATTTGGAGAGGAGGAAAAAATAGCAGGTCACAGGGCTGGATAATAAAAAAAAACAAAAATTAAACTGTTTAAATTCCTGACTAGTGTGCCTTGTGAAAAGCAGCAGGTCTTCTGGTAGTGATATTTTATTCTGATTCAATAATAAAAATACAAATTTTCCAGAGAGCATTGAGTCTGGTTGGTCAAGTTTAGCGGCTCATCAGTATTCTCCATATATACCCTTTTGCAGTTTCTGTAACCAGACTCTGCTCCTGAGGAATTCTGATTCAAAATATGAGATTGTGCACAAGAGATTTGCCCTTTAGAAATTTTTAACTAGTGGTTTAGTGTGCACAAAAGAAAGAGAACTACACTGTTAGGCCAGTGCTGTCCAGCAGAAATATGTGAGTCACAAATGCGAACCATATATATAATTTAAAATTTTCTAATTAGCCTTAATTAAAAAGTACAAACCAGTGAAACTAAATTTTCTTCTTTTTTTCCTTTCTCAAGTTTTTATTTGACTTCTAGTTAATGTACAGTATCATACTAATTTCAGGTGTAGAATTAGTGACTTATTAATATTCTTTAACCAGTATACAAAAATATTATATTTATAATAGGCCTTCAGAATCCTATACATATTTTATACTTAAACACTAGTCACATTTCAAGTTCTCAATGGTCGCAAGTAACTAGTGGCAACGGTATCAGACCACATAGCTGTAAACAATGATCTGCTTCAGTTTTTAGAAATTTCTTTATGACAGAAACCCCAGGAAATGCTGCAGTTGTGACTCATTGTACAGGTAACATGGACAAGCAGCTGACATGGAACAAGAACTGACTTCGGGATACCCTGAATAACTCTGCTTGATCATTTGCGCACTGGCAACATGGGGAGAAGGAGCAAATAATAGTTCAGCACCTTACTATTGTAAAACAAACCACTCCAAAACAGTGCCTTAAACCACCACACCTTTGGGGCTGGGAACAACTTGGTGGTAGTTCCATTAGTAGACTATGGGCTCAGCAACATGGTTGCAGTACACAAGAAGCTCCACCAGGGGGAGATCATCCGCAGTAGCCACTCATTCGTCTGGGGCCTGAGACTGGCTGGGCCTCTCACTGCACGTGATTTCTGGTCACCCAGTTTTCCAGTCCAGACTTCTTCATGAGGCAGTAATATGTCTCCAGAGGGTAAAGGCTGAGGCTACAAAGCTTCTTGAGAATAGGCATCATCTGGCATCATCTCACTCTACCTCCTGATGGGAAAGACAGGAAAATACTGGGTACTTTTTTCCAGCTTTATTGAGATATGTGACCCATGACATTGTGTAAGTTTGAGGTATACAGTGTGGTTCATATGATACACTTATATATTGTGAAGCCATCACTACCATAGCATCAGTTACCATCTCCATCCTGTCACATAGTTACCATTTCTTTTTTGTGGTAAGAACATTTAAGACCTATTCTTATCAACATTCAAGTCTAGAATATGTATTATTAGCTGTAAATACTGTGCTGTATGGTAGATGTCCAAACTTGTCAATTTTATAACTGGGCATCTGTGTCTGCTTTTTTAAATTATCTCCATAATACAGTCATATATCACATTTCTCACATTGTAAACAAATAATAGGTTTGGGTTCCAAAGTAAAGGTCACTTTGCTCAGCAACTTATAAACTTCCTTCCCACGGTTGACTGAACAAAATGGTTTTACTCTTTCCTTCTACAGCCAAAGAAAGTGAAGGATCCTCTCATTAAGAAAAACAACACTTATGCTCCAACAGCAACCAGCTACACCCCTAATTTGGCCAGGGGTGACCCTGGCTTAGCCACCATTGCTAAAAGTGCAACCATAGAACCAAAAGAAGTCAAGCCGGAAACAAAACCACCAGAACCCAAGAAAACCTTTAACAGCGTCAGCAAAATTGACCGACTGTCAAGAATAGCTTTCCCGCTGCTATTTGGAATCTTTAACTTGGTCTATTGGGCTACATATTTAAACAGAGAGCCTCAGCTAAAAGCCCCCACCCCACATCAATAGGTCCTTTCATTCACATTCTGTTGTTCAGTCCTCTACACTGGGAATTGCTTTCTGTTCTCAACGCAGTGATTCCCACCTGCTTTATTGCCTCTGTCTTAAAGAATTTGAAGGTTTCCTTATTTCCATAATTCATACAAGAACAACAGACCCCTGTCCAGCAGTCCTGAGCAAAGCAGAGCATACAGCTGAGAGACAGGATTCTGAGAGAGGAAGCAAGAGAGAAAAGTCATGACAGAAGGAGACAGAATGGAAGAGAGAGGAAAGGTGGGGGACTAGGTCCAGGCTAAGAGGAAAAGTAGAAGGAAAATAAAACTTTAACTCTATTAACTCCAGGTCATTTGTAGATATATATTTCCAAGTATTCTAAAAAAAAAAAAAAAAAAAAAAAAAAAGAGAGAGAGATACTGTATATGTCAAAAATATTTTTATGTGGAGGTGTTTCAAGGAATAAATTATAAATGTTTAATGAAATTTTAAAAATCTATGTCTTTATTGCACAAACTGCAGTGTGGTTTACATTTTGTTTTGTTTTTTAAAATGATGTATAGCTTTAACACTTTGTTTCCAAAGCTAAAGATCCCCATTTTTTCCTCTGTTTAAAAATGGCTAATGCATTATTCTGTTGTTAAAGGCTATTTTAAAATTCATGAAAATTGCATAGGCAAACATGCAGTTCCTTACTGTTAACCACATTTAATCCAAAAGAGAGAAATGGTTTAATAAATAGGTTACTTCACCATCATCTGAGCTTTTATCACTAGATTCAATGAAGAATCATTTTAACAGAGACATACACTCATTAAAACCAAAAACTAACTAACTAACTAACTAAATAAATAAATAAATAAAACAATTAAAAAATACTCCCTTTGCCACCCTGTCTATATGCAGATAGCACATGGGTCCAATGATCACTTGATTCTCATTATGAAAAGATGTTTTCAGAGGGGCAAACATATTTTGCAAGCTCTAGAATTGTTGAATGTATTATTTTATATAACAATACATTAAAAGCTTTAGATTGAAATTTATGATTAGTAAATATAGATTATTATATAAATTATGTATGTAAATATACAGCATGAGATTGTACATTTTTTACTTTTTTAAAGTTGTGTTCTTACAATATTGTGTAGGACTCACCGCTCTTAGCTGTTAGAATGTTGTGAAGTGCTACGGAAATACCTTAGAGCCTGCATTAAAAACAGAACAGCCTGTGGGAATCAGATGGAATTTAAAATAGATGGGTATAAAGTCCACTTATATAGAGAAAGCCTATAATTGTAAACTATCATCCAGTGTGCAGTAGTAAATCAGTTGCTCTCTGCTCAGGTCATGCCACATTTCCCTATTTGAGGCTCTTATAAAATAGAGAGAAAATGGAAAAGCATTAGTTGGAGCTAGAAAATCAGCTGTATAATATTGCTATAATTGCTGATACCAACTTTCTCAATGTGTTGTACCATATGTAGCATTAAATATAAAAACACATGAAAGAATGTACAGGAAATAGCTTTTATTGAGTAACATTATTACATTTCATTTATACTGTAGCAATATATTTGTAGGTTTACTATGTAAGGGCTTTAACTACAAGAGGTCCATTAATACTCCCTATAAAAATTCTGGTCTGTTTCATTACTTCCCAGATGTTTGAGAGATGAATATTTATGCAGAAGGTATTTTTGAAGTCTCCTTTTGTCTGATAGAATTTCAGAGATGTTTAAAATTAGCATCCAGAATCCGCAGGTCATAGTCTAACCACATTTAGAATACTACGACATAAACCTATCAGCATAATTGCCAAATAAGTCTGTTGGGATCTGTACCCAAGTTTTGAGCAATGTTTCTTTCAAAAAGCTGCTATCCAATGATATAGGAAAAAACAGTTTGTGTTTTCCTAAACAAACTCTGGTTTTCTTTTTAAATGTGCTTTATTGTTTGATTTGGTCCTGCCTAAATTGAATGAGCTAGGCCAATAAAGACTGAACCAAGGACATTTCATCCTCTGGTATCATGTGTAGATATCATGTATAGAAAATAAAATGAAATATGGCTCTAACCTCTGTGTTGCTGTTTATATCTGTTATTTTTCGGCGTTAACTCAATGTGTTTATTAAGAGCATTTTACCTTCCAGACTCCTCATGGCTAACATTTTGTCTGTATTTTGCTCATTAGATGTGAATATTTCTTATTAGTCTGCTTTCTGCTATGCAATGATTGCATTTCTATCATTTCTTAGTTTGTTAGTATGTGTGGATAGTATTCTATTGTATAAATTGATTGCACAATTTATCAAAGACAAATTATTCTATGTAGCTTTTCTACAGTGCTTTGCTAAACCATGTAATACTAGTTAAGTCTTCCTTGAAAATAAAGATACACTCTTATAGAGGACAGTTCCTGTTTACTCCCAGGAACATTTTTTAAAAGATGACACTGAATGTTTATTGCACCTTAGTGCAGTGAAGTGGCAATAAAACCCAACATGAATCGAGGTTGTTTATGGCAGATGCATGTATTGCTTTACAGAGTTTAGCAAAAGCTCTTAATTTTATGTCATACTGTATTCTATTCTAATAATAAAGCTAACATTATTCAATAACCAAATGGAATGCTTGACTCTCTTTTCATATTATCCATAGGACCTACCACTGACCTGCTTTAAACATTTTCACATGGGAGCACCTTAAAGTGCCAAGTGCTAACTAGAATCTAGGGTACAGAGAAGAGTTTTGAAGCTGTGTCAATAGTCTGACCCTAAACTATGAATGAATCACTTTGTAAAGAGGAATTAGGACGCCCATGTGGCTCAGTTGGTTAAGCCACTGCCTTTGGCTCAGGTCTTGATCCTGGGGTCTTGGTATTGAGTCCCACATCGAGCTCCCTGCTCAGCAGGAAGTCTGCTTCTCCCTCTGACCTTCTCCCCTGTCATGCTCTCTCTCACTCTCTCTCTCTCTCTCAAACAAATAAATAAAATCTTAAAAAAAAAAAAAGAGGAATTATTAAACACCCAGTATCTGGTGCAACCAGTAGCACTTCAGCTCAAAATTTATAAAACGTAAATAGAACAGAATCAAAATGCTGAAATGATAGTAGAATATCTATTGTCAATACTGCAAATCTATTTTCTGATCTACTTCGCAGAGACTGCGGTTTAATTGTTTTGAGGGGGGCGTCTGAGCATTGTCATTTGAAAAGCTCCCTTGGGGCTATTCCATTCCTCAGTGTTTCTGTGATCATGAAATCAGATTAAAGTACAAAATACTTACGATCACTTGAAAAACAATAGAAAAATTATTTCAATGACAGGCATAAAACTGTACCAGGTTTCTACAGACAAGACTATGCAAGGCAAAATCTTTCTGTGTCAGATGGTGGCCAGGCAAAAACAAAATAAATTCTATCTCTACAAATAATCGCTAAAAAAAATGATTGAGGATTTAGCAAAATTAATAATTTTTAAATCCTCCAACCAAATTGCTTATTCAATCCAAATAAAACTGCTCATGTAAACCAACTGAATCCACATTCACTGATTTCTTGGCTCTCACAAAAATGAATGTAGTGAACAATGGTAATTTTAGCTATCAAAATATATCCTTGTCGGGGCTCACCATAATAATTAGCTAAGGAATCAAAATCAGAATGAACTTGGCATAATTGCTGACCATCTGTTTGAATTTTATTATACCTGTTTGTCAAGACCTTCTGTTGGAGTTTTCTAAAATCTCTCCAACTCTGGTAACCAACAAGAACAAGCATCTGACTCAGTTACATTATAGCCACATTTCGGCCAAATAAACTCCAAATGTTAATTTAATTAAGTTAAATTCTGCTAACATTTGCTGAGTCTCTATCCTGTATTAAGTATTGTGCTCCATGATAGGGATGTAGCCATAAATATTTCATGGCTTTCTTTCCCTTAAGGAAATTGCAGTTATGAGAGGAAAGGAAAACAGAGTATCAAGGAAAGATAATATAAATACTGTGAGAAGAGTAGAGGATGCTAAGAGACAAATAGCAGGGATAACAGCACTCTTCATAAGTTACATAGTTGTATCTGTAGGAACTAATCATGCCCAAGCTAAAACTTGAACTGTAAGAAGAATTAAAGTTGTCCCGGAACATTTGTCAATGGCCTGGGGTCATGAGGCCCTACGCTTTGTGAGCCATTTAACCACCATCTGACACAGGAGACCTCTTTGAATCCTTCAGCTACTGTGGTAGGTCCTGAGATGACAGAAGTGAAGATGATGGGATGATCTTGGAAAGTTTGTAATTCATAGAGAATCCAAGTGAAGCTAAAGTTACAACACTTTAAAGAAGATGTACATCTACCAATCAATGTACACGGTATAGGGTATTTAATACTTGGGCGGTTTTGTGAGTTTTTAAAAGATGACTCAATATTTTTCAGGCAGTCTGTTGTTGGGGATGGTTGATGATGATGAGGGACAGGCCTTTCATTGAATGATGATAATAACATGGTAACACTTCACTCAGCGAGTCACAAAGACTATTGCCAGGGAACTAATGCATGTGTGTGAAGTAGACCATATACTACACTAGAGCAAGCACTCAGGCCTGTGAGAAACAGGCCACATGCCCAGTCTCCTTAACCTCAGCCCAGTTACTTTGTACCATGTGGAGAAGGGGGCTGTATATTCCTACAGATATCCCAATGATACAAACAAACAAACAAAAAATTCTTTTTAACTCCAATTTTGAAGCTTACTGTATTTGCCAAATATATGATCCAGTTGAATCTAATTCATGTGACTAATGATCTCTGTTTTTCAGAAAATCAAGACAGATTCATACATTAATTTTGAAAATCATTAATTGAGCAGATATACTATGTTTGGTGCAAGAATTACTTCACAGAGAAAGGGAAGTGTTCCTCCTTATTAATAGCAAACTTTAAAACTGTATTTGAAACAATGTTGATTACCTACATTTTCTAAAGTCACATTATTTTTCAATAAAACATATGTGGCCTAAAAAGAAGTCGTTTTCTGCATGGGGCTGTGAAATATTAAGGGATTTTTTTGTTTGTTTCTGTTGGTAATTTACCTGTATTTCTCTAACTGAAACATGGACCATGTCTTATTATGGAAAGTATGATTTCTTCATTAATAGTCCATCAAGGTGTAATTATGGATATTACTTTCTTTGATTCTTCCCACAAGCAGTGTAGTATAAAAGAAGAAATTTA